TTTTTTTTTTTTTTTTTTTTTTTTTTTTTTTTTTTTTTTTTTTTTTTTTGAAAAAAAAAAAAAAACTGGGGTTTTTAATGTTAGTCTTCTCATTTATTTTTTTCATAATGAACAATATATAAATAATTCAAGAATTCAACATCTTTAAATAATAAATGTAATGCGTTTTTTAGAAACTTTGGCAAATCTGTCTATGATTTTTTTCAACATCCAAATCAATTTCTCGATGAATGTTTAATAATGCGAGTCCATTTAATCGTTCCTGATTTTAAGTTGCTCTTCTGAGTCAAGTTTTGAGACGTCGAAGAGTTGAAAAGGAACGTTCTGCTGTTGCTGCACTAACTGGCAGAGTTATTAAAATTCTCAACAACATATTGATTGTTGGGTACTGGGTACAAATCGATGTCACAGGCATTAATGTTCTTAGAAAGATCGTTGGGCACTTCAAGTCCTGCTTCTGTTTCACGCTGCCATTTTGCCACCCAAAGACGAAATTCTGTTTCGACAAATTTTACGGAAGCCTTTAAGAGATTCCTATAAAACTCGGCAGTTTCACGAGCGGTTATAAGATCTCCTTCTGTAACAGTTTGACGAGGTAAAAAAACTCATAGATTGATAAGTTTTATCACATCTGGGGAAAGTCTGTCCATTTTATCCTCTGTTCCCATCTTCACCTTCATACAATCTTTGGTTAAACCTATTGAAGAGCTCTTGGAGTGCTCGGCTCGCTTCAACATTATTAATGTTTACAATGAAACCATGACGAATTTCGTTTTAATCTTTTGGATTATGATTCTTGAAGCAGTGAAGAACATAATTATATAAAGAAAAAAATAATCGATTTTTCCGACCCACCTAGCCTAGGTGTATATGCCCCCTTAAATAATTTTTAAAATATTTTATTTCTTTTGAAAACTATTAAAAAAAGTATTATTTTTATTTTTTAATTTTTTTTTTTTGGGGGGGGGGGTTATGACCCCTATGACCCCCCGCTGAATCCGCCACTGGACATGTTATACGTGCTAATAACTTTTTACAAGACTAAAGCAAACGATTTTGGGATTTTATTCGTTTTCCTGCTTGAAACTCAATTTTCAGAACGTCTTCATGACTGCCTGTTTTCACTATCGTTAGGAATAATTTTATTAAGTGTTTATGGAATAATAATTGGAGTAGGTAGAGGTTTTTTGGCAGTAGTAGTCGTGGTACTTTACTTGTAGCTAGAACCTTACAATGAGCTTTTGGTGACGGCCTGGGAAACATTCCTAAAGATGCGTCATTACGATTTTAATGCACTGCAGGCAGAATGACTCACCCGCTTTGGTAACACGATGACCTGCGTGCAAAATCGAGAACTCTATAATAAAACAGTTTGCTAAAAGTTGCCCTTTGCAGTTTGATCAAAGTGGTCATCCACCTGCTCACTGACTGCAGATAGTGAAGCTTGATTTCGGTGATCTACTGGGAACCATATCGATCCGTCTACTGTGGGACAAAGTGTTTTGAACCTAATTGGCTTTTGTAATTGAAATTCAATTTCTAGGACTTGCCCTTAGCCTACTTGTACGATCGTTGGGAATGTTTTTATTTTTATATCCGTCGTTTAACAGGCGACCCAATTTTGGGTTTACGACTACTAATGTTCAACTCCGTAGCCTTGTAAGTTTGAACCGATCCAAAAGACAAGGAAACTCATGGATCAGTACCCCAGAGGTTTTGATTTGTTATGGGAACATGGAGGACTTTGCGACTCGACAGATTTAACGTGCATTAGTTACCATTTACTACACGGGGAGTCTTCGGCCTGGGGAGTCTTGGACATGGGCCCAGTGCCCTACCAACCAGGCTATTCCGACCTACCCTTTGCAGTTTGATGAAAGCGGTCATATACCTGCTCACGGATCGCAGATAAGGAAGCTTGATTTCGGTGATCTACTGGGAACCATATCTTACGAACCGTCTGTGTGGGACAAAGTTTTTTGAACCTAATTCGATTTTGTAATTGAAATTTCATTTCTGGGACTTGTCCACAACCTACTTGTACAATCGTTGGAAATGGTTTTACAAATTGCTAGTAAAATAATAATTAGGGAAGATAAAATGCGTTTTTATTATTAAATTCAATTGTTACCCAACGTGTTCACATTTGGCTATTTGTAAGGTTTAGTTGTTAAGGGTCTTACTAATCGATTTCGTCATTAACTTTCGAATTCAGAACGCGTTCAAAGCTGCTTATTTATAAGATCATTGGGAATAATTTTAAAAAAGTGGTAGTCTTTAACTTTGAAAATAAATATTTATACATTGAAATATAAATGTTGTTACTATTAAAAAAAATTTTCAGCGACTGTGTTTGTAACTATGCATGTCTTTTCGATTTTTAATTCTTTTTTTGCAAATAACAAAAATGTATTTTTTTATATTAAGGGGATAAATTCCCCCCTCCCAAAAGTCATAGTGGAGTTTGTTTTTTTTAAATAAAAATATGAAAAATAATTTCTGAATGCTTTACATGTACACTTAGTGGGCAATGAATATTTTACTTTTAAAAATTAATGATTTTGTACTAAAAAAATATTCATAATAATTTACAATTTTTAAACTCTAAACACTTTTTCATTTTTGCATATTTTTGAAATATTTTCTTGCATAACGATTGCAACTATTCTGTGCCTTCATTCCCTTACATCTTATCTAATTTTTAATTGACTAATTTAATTTTTTTTCTCTCTCTCTCTCCAGATTTCTCAGTCGCCAGTATGCCCAAAAAACCTGCTAGCGACTACTCTAGAAACATTCCTCAGTCTTGTGATACTTTTGTAGTTTTTCCTCCGGGCACAGCCTTCAACAGTGTTGTTTTCGGGAAAAATTCCGATCGACCAAAAGGGGAAGTACAAGAAGTTGTGTATTTCCCTGCAGAAAATCATGAATCTGGAACCCAAGTTCAGGTAATTTATGTTCTATATTAAAATAAATTAATTAATTAAATACATACCAAATGTTCCGCAATGCATACTCTCCAACCAGGGCGGAAAAGTGCAAAAACTAGTAAGAAAATCATTTCATTACAGATTGTTTTCGGCAAGATTGAAATATCTACGACTATCAAGATTTTTTTAAAATAATTATGACATATTTGTGGGGCTGTTTTTTCACTCTGGAGAAAGTAGTCCTAGTGATGAATAATCAGTCCTAGTGATGAATTTTTTAGAATAATAAAAGCTTATTTTACTCAACCCGAAAGCCCTATCAATGAACTGGTTTTTTACCAGTCTGTTCCGTCTCTTCTTCATACCTGTCTTCAACTGCCACAGAACTTTTAGAATTTTAGAAAATATTTTTTTCTATTTGTTAAGGTAGGCATTAACATTTTAATAAATTAGAATTAAAAGAATTTTGTCCATCACAATATATGAATAACACTGGGGTACAAATTATTTGCTGCATTTATGCAGGTACTTGAGCTTACCTAATTCGGGTGTGGGGATTACACATCTGAAATAAGTTTTGCTCCAAAAGCTAAATTTTTTTTTTTTTAAATTATATTTTTTCTTTGACTGAAAGTACAAATTTATGAAGAACGTATTGGTTTATATACATACATAGGCACTTGTTTGCTCCTTTGAAAATAATATTAAAGACAAAAAAACATGCGACTTTAACGTATTGCATCATTAACTAAAATGTATTATCGCCTTCTTTCAACCATACACCTCACGTAACAGAGAAGTGGGGACACATACTAAACTAACATACTAAAATATTAAAATTACATACTAAACTAAAATTACATAACATACTAAAATTACATACTAAATACTAAATTTACATACTAAAATTACATAAATTTACATACTAAAATATTAAAAAAAATATGTTAGTATGGCAAACTAGTGTGTTATTAACTTAATAATCTGCTTAATGAGATGTCTGAGATTGTTTTTTTGTTTTTGGTTTTTTACACTTGAAAAGATAAAACACGAGTCACTTCAAACTTTCAGTCGATTTCTTTTAGTCGTTTTCATTTATAGCCCAAATGAGAAGCCTGACTCGCAAAAATAAGTTTACACAAATAGAAACATTGCACTGATAACTTTTTTTTTCCACTCTTGGATAAAACTTGCTCATTGAAAACCAAAATTCCGTGACTCTTCAAACAAGTCTTGCTTGCGGATTATTTTTTAACCCAAGAAATTCATTTTACTTTAACTTTTCAGTGAATAAAATACACAGATTTCCAATAAAATTTTACTTCTCATTCGAAATTTCTTCCATTAAAATTTTTTGCCTTAGATCACTAATTAAAAAAAATAATTCTCAAAATCTCAAATGTTAGAGGTTATGTTAATAACCACCTTTCATATATATTTTTAAGATTTCTCATCAAAAAAGTAAATAACTATACACAAAAGAGGTTTTCCTGATGAATCGCTAACAAGTAGGACGAGATTTTAAACATCTAAACTTGTTTGATTACCTGAGAAAACTTACACGGTGTGATAGACGATTGTTAAAAATTCATCTGAAATTTGATCCGCCAATCAAACTGGATTTGCTAATTTTAATCCCCCTGAAGCATTGATTATTTGGATTTTAATAACGTTATTGTTTTTACTAGGCTAAATATTGATTTGTATTTCATTGTTTAGCATAGTTTTTTACTTCATTTTTATCATGAATTCGAAAAATATGTGAAAAGGGTGAATATATGACAATAGAATACTCTGCAATTGTTTTACTTATTCAAAAAATTCACAGTGTGTTACGATGTGTATTTTCAGTGCACTTACATAGCCATACCCCAAGCTGAGCACACTCATGCAGTAATCTTGAGCAAGCCGGCATGGATGTGGGGTGCGGAGATGGGCGCAAACGATGCCAATGTCTGCATAGGGAACGAGGCTGTCTTTACTAAACTAAATGCAGATGATGATATTGAAGAAAGGCTACTGGGAATGGACTTAGTGAGGTAAATACATGCTCTTTACTAGCCTTTAAATATGATACAACAAATTAGGTTGTTGTTTCTAATGTCACTTGCCAATATCAGCAAGTCTGCTTGGTGAAACCAGGCGAAATTAAGTATAACTTTAATAAAAATAAATAAGTTTAAAAAAACATAAATAATAATAATAAGAGTAGATTTTTACTAAGAAATAAATTTAATTGGTTTACAAAATATGCTTTTCACAGGTGCAAACGCTTATTGAAATTGCCAGCAATGGGCTGCAAGTCAGCGGTTGGAAAGATTCCTTTCCTTGATGTGAAGCCCTTTACCATCCAACCAGCTCATATTTCCCAAAACGATATGGTCTGTTGGCGTTTCAAGCACCTCAGCAATCGTTGAACAACCCCAAAACCCGAAAATTGGTCAGGGTATGGGGATGAAAATTGAGCAAGCGGTAAAGCACTTCTGGTTTTTGTGGATTGCGGTTTTAAATTAAATAAAGAAATGTACCAATCGGACATTCTAAACGCTGTTGTACTTCCATGGGCGAAAAAGCACTTAGGCAATGTAAATTGTATTTTTCAATAAGACTTTGCACCAGCTTACAAGACTAAAAAGACACAAGAGTGTTAGAAGGCGCATTTTCCGGACATGACATTGTCTAAAAATAGGCTACCGTACATTCAGATCTCAATCCTACGGTATGGATTAAAGAAAATGGTCCATTTAGGAATCTAGAGCTTGCACTGAACCACACAAAAGCTTGTACTCTCTAGTTCAATTGCTTCAGCTGGCATGGGTAGATTAAGGGTAGAATACATACTGCCCATTGTTTAAAATATTAATAAGCTGCTGCGTCACTGCAAAGGACAACCACTTTGAAACTAATTAAATTAACATATTAGTAAAAGTCTACTCGTATTATTATTTGTTATATTTAATTTATTTACTTATATTTTAACAAAATTCTTGTTAGTCCGTTTGTTTCCGTTTCTTGTCACCCTGTATATATTATATATTGTATTGAAGGGTCCGAGAGCATTTACCTCTATTGTGCTTGTATAGTTACTTAATAATAGTTCAGTGAATAAATTGGGTTACATTCACATGACTCGATACTTACTATGCAAATAGGCATTAAAAAGAAATAAGCAAAAAAGTATTGTTAATGTATGAATCTATTATAAAATGCAATTTAATTTTTTTCCCTATAAATATAGATTGGGTCTTGAGAGAGCGAGTTCGGCAAGGGAAGCTGTCGACGTCATAACTAGCCTCTTGGAAGAGCATGGCCAAGGAGGGCCTTGTTCCGATACGAAGACTGATTTCACTTACCATAATAGCTTCCTAATAGCAGATCATAAAGAAGCTTGGGTCTTAGAAACAGCTGGAAAACTGTGGGCAGCTGAACAAGTAACTAGTTAGTGTTCTTTACCATGTAATTTCTGAAAGATTTTTTTAAAAATTAATATTTAAAGAAATAACAATTATTTAGCTTTGATATCATATATGCACGTTAAAAATCTTGAGATCTACAAGAGTTGTAGAAATTTCATTTCCTTAGAATATTTTGATAAGAGTAAATATGGCCTTTCAGCAATCATGGTCTTACGGTCTGTCAATTACGAGAGGAGACTTAAACCTAACTTGAAATCGTCCCTGAGTGCTTATTTCAAAACTGTTTAGCAGTAAGCAATTTTTCAACTTAGACATCTACCAATTCTAGAACATTAACTTTAGAGACTTACGTTCTTGAATCGGCATAGATGAAAACTGCCAGGCATAGATGATTCTCAAAACTGTCAAACAGTAAGCAACTTTTGAATTTAAGACATCTGCCAATTCAAGAACTCTAATCTTAGAGATTTATGTTCTTGAATTGGCATGGATGAAAACTGTCAGACAGTAAGCAACTTTTCAATTTAAGACGTCTGCCAATTCAACTTTAGAGACTTATATTTTTGAATTGGCACAGATGAAAATAGCCAGGCTTAGATGTTAGATGAATCTCAAAATTGCCAGGCAGTAAGCAACTTTTCAATGTAAGATATCTGCGATTGAAAAACATTAACTTTAGAAACTAATGCTCTTGGATTTGCATAGATGTTATAAAAATTTGGTATGCCGTTGCACTCTAGGTTTACTTTTATAAAAATGTTTCTAAAACATGAACGTTAAAGGCAAAAAATAAATAAACAAATGAAATAAAACGAAGTTACTTATAGTATGGAATAACTAGAGTAAGTAATAGGAAATCAAGATTCGGCCTTTATTAGTAGGTAATATACCGCCTACACAGCTCAAAACATTGAGTTTTGAAGAAAAAAAATTATTATTTTTATTCATATTTTTTACATTTTAGACATTTAATTGACATTAAAAGCTATAGATGTTTAAAATTTGGGGTATAATGTTTATTCCCTCCCAAGTCGTGACGTCTCGTTACTTAGCAATTTAGCCTCATAATGCTTACGCATTCTTTCAGGCGGCTGTAGAAATATATCGAATACTCTCTCTATTGAAACGAAGATTGATTTAATGAGTAAAGATCTGAAGGAGCATGCACAATCCAACGGATTTTGGGATCCAAGTCAAGGGGATTTCAATTTTGCGGCTGCCTATGGAAATCCTAACGACAGTGCGACGCAACGATACACCAAAGGAAGAGAACTACTCGAAAATTTAGCAGCATCAGGTATTTTTTTTTTACCATTTATTTGCTTTTAAATAAACTGAAATTTGTTATTTTTATTCTATTTAAAAGTACTTTCAAGAACAGTTTATATTGTTCTTTAATCATCGCCCTCAATTAGGATTCTTGCCGAAAAAAGTCGTTGGAATATATATATAAATAGAGAACAGCATTTTTAGTTCCTGCTAGGTAGTTAAGCTATCCCCTCTGCAGAGAGTTAAAATTGTGAAAGCTTGTCTTTGGATCATTATCAGGGATGTTTCCCAGATCGTCTCCAATAGCCCTTCGTGTAGCTCTAGTGCAGTGTTTCACAAACTGATGACTTTAGTGTACCCTTTCTAAATTTTTCGTTAAGCTGTGTACTACTAATAAAAAAATGAACGTATTTTTTACTATAAAAAATTGCACTAAGTTAAAAATCACAACTGGCTGTTGATACCACTAATTATTAACTGTTAACTCTGCAAAAAAACAACCAATAAAAAAGTACGTAATCATAAATTTTCATGGCTAGCTTTATTTTTAAATAAAAAATTTTGAAATTTTCGTTTGTTGCAAGATATTTCGCATAAGAACGCGTACCCCCGATAAACTGTTCCCGTACCCCTAGGGGTACGCTTGCCACACTTTGGGAAACACTGCATTAAA